GTTTTAGATAGATAGATTTTAGATACATAGATTTTAGATAGATAGATTTTAGATAGATTTAGTTTTAGATAGAAAGATTTTAGATACATAGATTTTAGATAGATTTAGTTTTAGATAGATAGATTTTAGATAAATAAATTTCAGATAGATTTAGTTTTAGATAGATAGATTTTAGATAGATAGATTTTAGATAGGCTTAGTTTTAGATAGATAGATTTTAGATACATAGATTTTAGATAGATTTAGTTTTAGATAGATAGATTTTAGATACATAGATTTTAGATAGATTTAGTTTTAGATAGATAGATTTTAGATACATAGATTTTAGATAGGTTTAGTTTTAAATAGATAAATTTTAGATACATAGATTTTAGATAGATTTAGTTTTAGATAGATAGATTTTAGATACATAGATTTTAGATAGATTTAGTTTTAGATAGATAGATTTTAGATAAATAAATTTTAGGTAGATTTAGTTTTAGATAGATAGATTTTAGATACATATATTTTAGATAGATTTAGTTTTAGATAGATAGATTCTAGATACATAGATTTTAGATTTAAGTTTTAGATCGATAGATTTTAGATAAATAAATTTTAGATAGATTTAGTTTTAGATAGATAGATTTTAGATACATAGATTTTAGATAGATTTAGTTTTAGATAGATAGATTTTAGATAGATAGATTTTAGATAGATTTAGTTTTAGATAGATAGATTTTAGATACATAGATTTTAGATAGATAGATTTTAGATAGATTTAGTTTTAGATAGAAAGATTTTAGATACATAGATTTTAGATAGATTTAGTTTTAGATAGATAGATTTTAGATAAATAAATTTCAGATAGATTTAGTTTTAGATAGATAGATTTTAGATAGATAGATTTTAGATAGGCTTAGTTTTAGATAGATAGATTTTAGATACATAGATTTTAGATAGATTTAGTTTTAGATAGATAGATTTTAGATACATAGATTTTAGATAGATTTAGTTTTAGATAGATAGATTTTAGATACATAGATTTTAGATAGGTTTAGTTTTAAATAGATAAATTTTAGATACATAGATTTTAGATAGATTTAGTTTTAGATAGATAGATTTTAGATACATAGATTTTAGATAGATTTAGTTTTAGATAGATAGATTTTAGATAAATAAATTTTAGGTAGATTTAGTTTTAGATAGATAGATTTTAGATACATATATTTTAGATAGATTTAGTTTTAGATAGATAGATTCTAGATACATAGATTTTAGATTTAAGTTTTAGATCGATAGATTTTAGATAAATAAATTTTAGATAGATTTAGTTTTAGATAGATAGATTTTAGATACATAGATTTTAGATAGATTTAGTTTTAGATAGATAGATTTTAGATAGATAGATTTTAGATAGATTTAGTTTTAGATAGATAGATTTTAGATACATAGATTTTAGATAGATAGATTTTAGATAGATTTAGTTTTAGATAGAAAGATTTTAGATACATAGATTTTAGATAGATTTAGTTTTAGATAGATAGATTTTAGATAAATAAATTTCAGATAGATTTAGTTTTAGATAGATAGATTTTAGATAGATAGATTTTAGATAGGCTTAGTTTTAGATAGATAGATTTTAGATACATAGATTTTAGATAGATTTAGTTTTAGATAGATAGATTTTAGATACATAGATTTTAGATAGATTTAGTTTTAGATAGATAGATTTTAGATACATAGATTTTAGATAGGTTTAGTTTTAAATAGATAAATTTTAGATACATAGATTTTAGATAGATTTAGTTTTAGATAGATAGATTTTAGATACATAGATTTTAGATAGATTTAGTTTTAGATAGATAGATTTTAGATACATAGATTTTAGATAGTTTTAGTTTTAGATCGATAGATTTTAGATAAATAAATTTTAGGTAGATTTAGTTTTAGATAGATAGATTTTAGATACATATATTTTAGATAGATTTAGTTTTAGATAGATAGATTCTAGATACATAGATTTTAGATTTAAGTTTTAGATCGATAGATTTTAGATAAATAAATTTTAGATAGATTTAGTTTTAGATAGATAGATTTTAGATACATAGATTTTAGATAGATTTAGTTTTAGATAGATAGATTTTAGATAGATAGATTTTAGATAGATTTAGTTTTAGATAGATAGATTTTAGATACATAGATTTTAGATAGATTTAGTTTTAGATAGATAGATTTTGGATACATAGATTTTAGATAGGTTTAGTTTTAGATAGAAAGATTTTAGATACATAGATTTTAGATAGATTTAGTTTTAGATAGATAGATTTTAGATACATAGATTTTAGATAGATTTAGTTTTAGATCGATAGATTTTAGATAAATAAATTTTAGGTAGATTTAGTTTTAGATAGATAGATTTTAGATACATAGATTTTAGATAGATTTAGTTTTAGATAGGTAGATTTTAGATACATAGATTTTAGATAGATTTAGTTTTAGATAGATAGATTTTAGATAGATTTAGTTTTAGATAGATAGATTTTAGATACATAGATTTTAGATAGATTTAGTTTTAGATAGATAGATTTTGGATACATAGATTTTAGATAGGTTTAGTTTTAGATAGAAAGATTTTAGATACATAGATTTTAGATAGATTTAGTTTTAGATAGATAGATTTTAGATACATAGATTTTAGATAGATTTAGTTTTAGATCGATAGATTTTAGATAAATAAATTTTAGGTAGATTTAGTTTTAGATAGATAGATTTTAGATACATAGATTTTAGATAGATTTAGTTTTAGATAGGTAGATTTTAGATACATAGATTTTAGATAGATTTAGTTTTAGATAGATAGATTCTAGATACATAGATTTTAGATTTAAGTTTTAGATCGATAGATTTTAGATAAATAAATTTTAGATAGATTTAGTTTTAGATAGATAGATTTTAGATACATAGATTTTAGATAGATTTAGTTTTAGATAGATAGATTTTAGATAGATTTAGTTTTAGATAGATAGATTTTAGATACATAGATTTTAGATAGATTTAGTTTTAGATAGATAGATTTTAGATACATAGATTTTAGATAGATTTAGTTTTAGATAGATAGATTTTAGATACATAGATTTTAGATAGGTTTAGTTTTAGATAGAAAGATTTTAGATACATAGATTTTAGATAGATTTAGTTTTAGATAGATAGATTTTAGATACATAGATTTTAGATAGTTTAGTTTTAGATCGATAGATTTTAGATAAATAAATTTTAGGTAGATTTAGTTTTAGATAGATAGATTTTAGATACATAGATTTTAGATAGATTTAGTTTTAGATAGATAGATTTTAGATACATAGATTTTAGATAGATTTAGTTTTAGATAGATAGATTTTAGATACATAGATTTTAGATAGATTTAGTTTTAGATAGATAGATTCTAGATACATAGATTTTAGATAGATTTAGTTTTAGATCGATAGATTTTAGATAAATAAATTTTAGATAGATTTAGTTTTAGATAGATAGATTTTAGATACATAGATTTTAGATAGATTTAGTTTTAGATAGATTTTAGATAGATAGATTTTAGATAGATTTAGTTTTAGATAGATAGATTTTAGATACATAGATTTTAGATAGGTTTAGTTTTAGATAGATAGATTTTAGATACATAGATTTTAGATAGATTTAGTTTTAGATAGATAGATTTTAGATACATAGTATTTAGATAGGTTTAGTTTTAGATAGATAGATTTTAGATACATAGATTTTAGATAGATTTAGTTTTAGATAGATAGATTTTAGATACATAGATTTTAGATAAATAGATTTTAGATGGATTTAGTTTTAGATAGATAGATTTTAGATACATAGATTTTTGATCGATTTAGTTTTTGATAGATAGATAAGATAAGTTTAGATAAGATAAGTTTAGGATGATGTCACGGCATAATTAAAGATTTAGCTTCGCCATGTTATAGGTCAAACAAAGTAAACAAAACAAGCGTTTATTACCAAACTTTTTGGTAATGTGTGGTCTTATAGAAATTAAAGTTAGAAAGTTTATTATTTTGATTAAATTTATGTAGAAATTAATTCTATATATGATTATATAAACAATTTATTTGTGTTTGAACTAATATTAAATATTTTGTTTTCTAAAAGCTTTTAAACAAGGTTTAAAAGTTTTTAGAAAGTTTAACCAAAATTAGAAAAACCACTGAAAAACCTAAAAGTCAGCTGAAGAACTAGGTAGTTTTCCCATTCGAATAATTTTTGGGATAATTTTGAGTTTTTTGACATTTTATGACAGTTTATGACTTATTAAATAAATGCTAATGATAATATAAATTATGTTATCATTAGCATTTTTTCAAGACAAGGTTTATAATTATTTTTTAAAATTAGTAATTTCTCAGGAATGCTATATTCAATCAGCCTGAAACTTTTAAGGTACAATTAAACAACTTTTTTCTTAAAACACCTTAATTACAAATATAGTTTACATAAATTACAAATGTAGGTCGAATGAAGACAAAATGAAATAAAATTTTTTTATTTTTATATTTTTCAATCCTAATAAAAAATTGGTTTTGGTCCCAAAAAGGAGCTAAACCGTTTACACGATTGTTTATCATAGGGTGACTGTTAAACTTTGAAATTTGCAAAGTTGTTTTGTGCCACTTTCTGTCCAAACCATCTGTGCCACTTTCACGTCCAAACTATCAAAACTTGCGAAAATATAGTCATTTTCATAAGAATCGGTGATTTTCACAGTTTTACTCGCCTATTCAAAATTTCATAAGTACAAATCTGTATAAACGAGACTCTTTAATGAGAGCCATTTTGTAGCTATATTAGTAACGAACATTTGTGGAAAATTTCAAGAAGTTTCATAAAGTATTAGTAAAGATAATATATGTAAACGGTAAAATCAAAACAACAAAAAACACATTCTGTAAAAAAACAGTTTTAAAAACCAGAAAATATTTATTAACATCAAGTAACAGAAAATATTTATTAACATCAAGTAACAGAACTAACTCAAGTGAATAAGAACTATTAGGTTCGCATTCTTTAATGTCTTTTATTTTATAAACTTTTTTCTTAGACTTCTTTACTTTTCCCTGTGTTTTTAAAATATTAGATAACAATTTACAATATTAATGTTTACTATTTACAATATACAATGTTTAAAATATCAGATTCATCAATTGTTCTGTATGTACCACAAAAATATACAATGTTTAAAATATTAGATTCATCAATTGTAAATTCTGTATGTACCACAAAAAGAAACTTATTTTTACTTAAGGTACTAATTAAATCAAATCCTTCAAAAATTACATTTTAGATATTATTTACATCTAAATTGACTAAAATTTACTCTTGAATGACAAAATTAAAAAAAAAAAAGTCAAAAATTATTTTAATTTCAGAAATTTGGTCCCAGAAACCCAAAAATATCATCATTTCATTGCGGTGATTATCTCAAAAACTATTGAAGCTATTAACTTGAAATTTTCTAAATTTACTTTTAATTTTTATTGTATAAAGAAGATCCTGTACCAAAATCAAGAAAATTTACTGAACAGATTTTTTTATAAGAAAAACACTTGACAAACAAAAAGGCATTTTTGAACATACTTGGGCTTTGAATTTGATTATCGTATTGTCATAAATGTGGTAGGGGACATTCATAATAACAAAAGGAACAACAACTAAAAATTTCATGGAAATTGATTAATAAAATCTTGAGATATTCACCGCAAAGTCGTGAATTTTAGAGATCTGAGAAAAACACATTTAAACAAAAAAAAGCATAAAATTTTTCAAAAAAATAATAAAAAAGCCATGTAAAAAGCCTATTGACAAATATCAATTTATATTAAAAGTGTTGTGGAGTAAAAGTAGAGAAAATTATAAAAAAAATTGTTTTAAAAGACAGGTTTTATTAACAAGCATTAATACTTTTAAAGTTAGATTTCATAAAAAAAAGTCTTACTTTTAATTTGTAATTTAGTTTCAAATAAAAACTCCTATCAGTTTTATGGCAATAGTTATTATAGTAAATAAATATCAAGTAAACTAAATATATCAAAAAATAAAATTATATAAATGTAAACTAAAACTATTATGCACAATAAGAAATATCCTCATTAACTACTGTGTTCTTATTATAGTTTTATTTTCAGAATATAAACTTATTTTCAGAGCTTCTTCGCTGGGACATTTATGCTAGCTTCAGCTATGTAACTGTTATCATTTCTTTGTTTAACTAGTTAAAAAAATTTCTTTATGGGATCAAACATGATCATAAAACCACAAAACTTTTCAATACTACAGTATTATTTACCCATTTCACAAAAAACTAATATTGGACATAAATAAACATTAAAAATTCATTGCTGCTGGTTTGTTTATAATTTTAGTAGAATAAAACTTCTGAATAAAATTAGGAGACAGTTTTATAAGCCATATTGTTTTGAGCACCATAACAATTTATAATTTAAAAGTTTCATTTCAGGAAGTTATTAATAGCAAACAATGGCAGCCATTAATCCATCTCATATGTTGGTGGTTATTAATATGTAGCAGTCATTGGCGCTACTGCAGTTTCTCCCCCCCCCCCTCCCTATTTTTTATTGTTGATTATGATAGAGAATTTTATGCTGATTTAGAATCGTATAAAAACATAGGTCTGAAAATCAACAGAAAGTGCTCTAATTTGATGTTGAAGTTTGTAAAATTACACTAAAAAACGCTAATATGCGCCATTTTTTATCAAAGTTTATATTTTAAAATCGATCGTTAAGAAAATTACGCGACCCGGTTTTTATTGTCATCAAAGTTAATTTATAAATTGAATTAAATGTTTTTATGAATGTATTTTATATAACTTTAATTATTTTTTTTTAAATAGATTCAAATATTGCACATAAATCGACTGACAAATAGGGATTGGCTCAACTAAATGCACATACATCGACTAACAAATAGGGATTGGCGCGATTAAACGTCCATGATTTGGGACAGGGTTTGGGTTTGGGCAAGGGATAAATCAGAAAATGATGCGCTGAGCATTTTTTAAAAGTTTTGCATTTAATTGTTGATAGAAACCAGGCTTTTTTAATATCATTTTTGAAAAGAATTCTAAAGTAACCGAGAATAAAAAAATGGCGATTATTAGCGTTTTTTAGTGTAATTTTTTAAACTTCAAGATCGAATTAGAGCACTTTCTGTTAATTTTCAGACCTATGTTTTTATACGATTCTTGATCAGCATAAAATTCTCTATTATAATCAACAATAAAAAATAGGGGGGGGGGGGAGAAACTGCAGTAGCGGCGCAGTCATTTGTAACATAGACGATTTCGGAGTTAGCGTAGCCATCTTGGAAAAATATTCTTGGGGCTGCAAGTTGAACTTTGAACTTTCCGTTTTTATGCAAAATGTCATATAAAAGTATGAAAACTTTCTTAATTTAAGTTCAAAATAACTCATAGATTATTAGTTAATTCTTGGTTTATAATTATAAGGAAAAAATGTTAAACTTGTTGCAAGAGCTTTTGCTGCTGTGAAACTTATTCTTGAAATTATATCTTCACAATTTAAAACCAAAAAAAAAGGTGATATTATACCTTTTTTTATGGTTTTAAATTTTATAATATAAAATAAGTTTGCATTTTTTTATTTAATTACACATATAGTTTATATTGAAAAATAAAGTTTCTATTTTAGTAATTTAAATGGTACAGACTATACCATATTAAAACTTTAAATCAACAATTCACTTTAGTGCATACATTTTATTACAGTGAGTTGTTTGATCTCATTATAAAAAAATAGTTATTAGTTTAAAACTAGTTAATATATTTTATTGCCTTTTTTTTTTTTTTAAGATAAAAACATTTATTAAGTAATATCTAGTATGTAATATAATGCCAAGTCTTAGCAAATGTATAGTTGGTGTCTGTAATAATGACAAATAATACCCGGACATGCACAAGTTACCAAAATGTTAAGAAAGAAGAAATGCATGGATACATTATGGTAGCACTGGTATAAAAGATTTTATTGTCCCTAAAAACTTTTTTGTTTGTTCACATCACTTCCGTGAAAAAAAATCTACAAAAGATAATCCTGATCCAACTTTGTTTTATTTAAAATATCTATTAATACCATAACAACACCATAAAAGAGAAAAGTACTTTTTCCACAAAACTCAATTATTAATTCTAAAAAGGTTTTAGTTATGAAAGAAACTAATTCAAATTCGATAGATGATTCAACATCAACATCATAATCAGGAGACATAATATTGCTTCTGTTAATTCAACAGAACTTGACCTTTTTCTTAATTTCAAAATTTTGTTGCTGCCATCCCAATACGTCATAAGAGAGGCTTTGTTTGAGATAATTAAAGACACCTGAAAATTTTTTGTACTCACCAAACCTGTAAAAAAAATTGCACATCATTTTCACGTGTCAACTGGCAGAACATCATTGGGACAGACACTAGAAATTCACTAGATGATGCTATTTCTCTTTCATCTGCAACAACAAAATTCAACTCAGAATCACCACAGTCAACATTGAATTAGTTTCTTTCATAACTAAAGAATTAATAATTGAGTTTCGTGAAGTTTTACGTACTTTTCTCTTTTTTGGCGTTGCTATGGTGTTAGTAGAGATTTTTAAAAACAAAGTTGGATCAGGATTATCTTTTGTAGATTTTTCTTCAAGGAAGTGATTTGAACAAACAAAAAAGTTTTTAGGAACAACAAAATCTTTTGTACTAGTGCTACCATAATGTATCATGCATTTGTTCTTTCTTTACATGTTGGTAACTTTGCATTACTAAATTTCCTTCAACATTGCTATGTTTTATAATTTTGTCAGGGTATCTTTTGTAATTATTACAGACACCAACTACACATCTGCTATGAATTGGCATTATATTTCATACTAGATATTACTTACTAAATGCTTTTATTTAAAAAAAAGCAATAAAAGTATATTATTAAATTTTCTTCAACATTGCTGTTTTATAATTTCGTCAGGGTATCTTTTGTCATTAATAAAGACACTAACTAAAGATCTGCTTTGACTTGGCATTATAATACATACAATTTAATTAACTAGTTTTAAACTAATAACTAATATTTTATAATGTTCACTGTAATAAAATGTATGTACTAAAGTGAATTCTTGATTTAAAGTTTTCATACGGTATAGTTTGCACCATTTAAAATACTAAATACAAAATTTAAAACCATAAAAAAGGTGTAATATCACCTTTCCTTTTGTTTTTAAATTGTGAAGATATAATTTCAAGAATAAGTTCCATAACAGCAAAAGCTCTTGCAACAAGTTTACCATTTTTCGCTAATATTTTTAAACCAAGAATTAACTAATAAACTATGAGTTATTTTGAACTTAAATTATGAAAATTTTCATACTTTTATATGAAAGTTTGCATAAAAACGGAAAGTTCAAAGTTCAACTTGCACCCCCAAGAATATTTTTCCAAGATGGCTACGCTAACTCCGAAATCGTCTATTGAACTGATCGTATTTAGCAGAACTATTATTTTTATTTACAAAACTATTATTTAAAAGTTTTATAGATTATTTACTGCTGTATCTCGATGTACACATGTCCATTTAAATTTTTTTTTGCTATGCTACATTCAAATTTTAGTTCATGCAAATTAGATACAATTTCTTCAGCTGCATTGTTTGTTGATTGACTTTGGTTTTCTTTAAAAAGTTTAAATAAGTTTTTTTCTATGCCTTGTTTTATTTCTTTTTTCTTTTCTTTTTTTCCATTACTTTTCATTACTAAAACTATTTAATCGAAGTGATAGGATAAATGTAGACTGATACAGAAAACAACAACTATAATTGGAAATTTCAATAAAAGTCATGTAGCCAAATGGACCAAAAGTATTAATCAATAAACAAAAAGTAGTTTTAGAGTTGCAATCACCACATCTGGTATTTTATAATAAAAATATATACTATAATTATAATTCAATTTCTTTTTTAGTTGTATAGTAACAGAATAAAAAAGCGTTGTTATGGAAAAATAAAAAAATTTACTTATACCGCTTTATTAAAAAATAGTTTTAAATGGTGTTAGCTATTTTTTTTCATAAAACTAACTTGAAATTTGTAATTTACGATAGCTATATTATTTAGAAAAAATATAATTGAAAAAATGGTTTTTTTGATTTTTAATTTATTTATTTTTTATTATTATTATTATTTTTTTTTTCTGTTTACATTTGCCCTAAAATAAATACTATATTTTACAAGAACAAAGAAAACAAGGCTTCTGAAAGAAGATCAACTGATCTTATCATCAGAACCTTTACAACTTTATAATATTATAAAAACTAAAAATATAAATCCAAAAACGGCCGTAATAATAAATATATAATAATAAATTCATAATATTATTCACGTATCTGTAATAATAATTCTCACAAATCTGTAATAAAAATCCATAATAATAAATTTTATAGATCTGTTATAAATTAAAGAAAATAAATTTATTAATATAAATATTATTATAAATCTCATAAATCAAGTTTATACTTCAAGCTAATAGTAACTTAAAATGTCATCCATAGCAAGAATAAAATTTTTTAATTTATTTTTAAAAACAAAAAAACGGATAAAAGGATCAAAATTAGGCAGAACTATTTTATTTCAAAGGTAAGGTGCTCTATAATTAATACAAAATTTATTAAAATTTGTTCTACAAAATGGTTCATTTAGCAAATCTTTATTTCTTAGTGAGTACTTATTAGTAAGTTTTAATGTAAAAAGGTCGTTAAAAACAGGTTGGGATAAATTGTTTTTCCACATATAAGTAAAACATAAAACATTGAAAACATTAAGCTTGTAGACATTAAGTATTTTCATTTCATCAAAGAATGGCTTTGAATGTGTAGAGCGATCCACATAATTAATCACGCGAATCGCATGTTTCTGTTGGCGATATAGACGTTGTAGTTTACTTTTTTCGGTACTACCCCGTGCAATACGTAGTTTATATAGCTGTGTATGAATGAGTAAAAGAGCTGCGTAAGGTTTTTTTTGCTTAAGTAAGGTCGGGCTTTATACAAAATGCCAAGATACCTTGGTGGTTATATGATTAATATGGTTTTTCCAATTAATATTCTCATCAAGATAAACACCTAGGAATCTTATAACAGAATCTCTTTTTATTAGAGTTTCATCAATATAAATTTGAAGCATAATATCTAGTAAAGAACGTTTTTTTGAGAAGGAATAAAAAAATCCATTTAGTCTTAATAGTGGTCTACCACCATTTAGTCTTAATAGTAGGTAGTACGGACGTTTTAGGTACACTTCTAACAGTTATAACCCGAAAGCGCAATCTCGTTTTGAATTTTTCATAGGGGGATGGAATAATCTACTACAGATCACAGACGATTTAGCGACAGTCTAACAATTTCTATTTACAAATCTAACCCATAACTTTCTCAACTCATCATCTTTTGGAAAACTAAAGATTGGTATTACTTCATCCCCACTATAATTTGAGGTGCAACCGATAAAACAGCATCTAATAACCATAATTGTTATTAATAACTAAAAAGTAGCAACAAATAACAATACAACGATGGTGAAGTTTAGTAGAGACGCCTATTAATCTAACGCGTAAACTTATATCCTGTTCCAGATATACTTACTTAACATTCGTAACGCAATAATTAAAATATTTTGAGAAAGTTTGTCCATATATAATATACGTTTTTTAACGGAATATTCGTTTTTTTAACTGTCCTTCTATTTTTTTTTTTTTTTTTTTCGATTTAAACAGAATAGAAGGCTATGCGAAGCATAGCCTTCTATTCTGTTTAAGCATATTTAAATTCTATTCATATTTAAATTTAAAAGCATATTTAAATTCTATTCTGTTTAAGCATATTTAAATAGGCTTTGCGAAGCGTGTTTTTGACGTCAAAAGAGAACTTTTGTTATACTCGTTCAAGCTATATTTGCGCATACGAGCATACATAGTATGCGCATAGCGCATACTATGTATAATAAATAATCTATACTTTATTTGAACATAAGAAGTAAGGATTATTGCATATTAAGACTAATGATAAATTAAAGAACTCATAACACAGAACATTAACACTGTTTTCTTTAGCCATGCGCACTAGATATGCGCTATCCAGGTATTATAGAGCTCAATCATAATCTAATTTGAATATTAAAAATCATCGAAATAACAGTTATATGTTATGGATTTTAAGTTCCACCACTGTTATGCAAAATATTTTTCATAACCATTTACTATTCCGCTAATTTTCTATATAATATGTTTAAAAAAAGACCTCTCAAATGACGTCAAATTATTAATATAAAAATATATTGAATACTATTACGATTATGAGTGGAAAAAAATATGTTTTTGCTAAATAATAATTTTTGGGTATTTTATTTAATAATACATCTCGCAAAAAGTCAAGGTTGTTTTTTTTTTATTTGTTTTTTTAACATATAAATTGAATAGTTTAAAAAATTTAAAGAGTGATTTAGTCGGCTAGAGTTTTAATTAAAGTTAAAATATACTAATTGAAATTTTTATTTAAGAACGAATTGATATTCAAGAGGTAAAAACTTGTGCAAGTGGCTCAGCTGTCTTAAAAATTCCAATGCCTATACAAAGCAAGTTATGGCCAATATTATGGACAAAGGATGGTGACACCCTTGCAATTGAATCTCGCCACCATATTAATGCCAGTGCTCTTACAATAGTCGACGCTACTCCAAAAGATGGAGGCATATATTGTGCGCAACTGCTAACACATGAAAGAAGTTTTCAGTTTTATTTTAAGTTGATTATTGCAGGTATATATATATATATATATATATATATATATATATATATATATATATATATATATATATATATATATATATATATATATATATATGTATATATATATATATTATATATATATATATATATATATATATATATATATATATATATATATATATATATATATATATATATATATATATATAATATTTCATTATTATCAAGTTTATAACATTAATTACATAATAAATAATAATTGTTTAGTTATGCACAAATTTTGTATGTTAAGATAGTAGATTGACGTCATTTACTCCTCCAAAAGTTATTGCGGCAGTAGGAAGTAATGTTACCATCAAAATTGAAGCCAAAGGTCACGGAAACTCGGCGTGGACATTTAATGGAGATTTTTTAAATGCTAACGCCGAAAGCAATCATTTTAAGTTTCTTGATCCTCGTGATTTCGATATAATTAATGGTGGTGTTCTTTTTATTCAAAATATTCAAAAACGTCATAGTGGCGTATATTTAATGGCATTTAACGTCCAAGGATGTGAAACTACCGTTACAACTCAAGTAGAAGTGTTTTTTACAAAATTGGGTACTATAAACGGTAAAAAATTTACATTACGCTATTTATCTGCATATATATATATATATATATATATATATATATATATATATATATATATATATATATATATATATATATATATATATATATATATATATATATATATAATTCGACGCCTAAACACTATTTAAAATGAAATTACTTCAAAAAAGAAATTACTTTAACAAATATTTTTAAACTCAACTATTTTTGTAATAAACTCTAATTATTTATAATTTTGGTCTTCATTAATTCCTAATTTTATGTATTCAACTTAAACTTACTTCAACAAGATCGTAAATCTGAAGAGTTAATTTATGATCGGATTCTTTCTGTTAAATCTCAACCTATGTTTAAAACGAGTGTCGGAATGATTGTTATTATAATAGCAATCATCGCTGTTACTGCTGGCGTCTCAAGTCTAATAACTTTATGGTGTCTTGGTTTGTGCAAACTACTAAAGAAACATTGGTACGTAATCTTTTTGTTTTTCATCTGATTCATCGATAAACATTTCTAAGAACATTTTTAGCGGGAGGCTGCATAAGCGCGAAATGGCATATGTGCGAACTGGCATAAGTGCGAAGGTTGCAAAAACTGGCATAAGTGCGAACTGGCATATGTGCGAATTAGCAAAAGTGCGCCATAACATTGACATAAGTGCAAATTGACATAAGTGCGAACTAGCATAAGTGCGAAGCAGTGGCACAATTGCGAACTGGCATAAGTGCGAATTGGCATAAGTACGCCGAATAAAATTTCAAATATTTGCATAAGTGCGAATTGGCATATGTGCAAACTGGAAAAAGTGCGAAGCAGCTACAAAAACTGGTATAAGTGCGAACTGGCATAAGTGCGAACTGGCATAAGTGCGCCGAATAAAAGTTCAAATATTGGCATAATTGCAAATTAGTATTTCGCACTTATGCCAATTTGCACTTATGTCAGTTTTCACTTATGCCAATTCGCACTTATGCCAGTTCGCATTTGTGCTAGTTTTTGTAACTGATTCGCACTTATGCCAGTTCCCATATATGCCAATTCGCACTTATGCCAATGTATGCAAATTTGTTTGCCGTACTTTTGCCAAATCGCACTTATGCCAGTTCACACTTGTGCTACTGCTTCGCATTTATGCCAGTTTGCACTTATGCCAACTTGCACTTATGCCAATGTTTGCAAAATGTTTTGACGCACACTTATGCCAATTCGCACATATGCCAGTTTGCACTTATGCCAGTTTTTGCAACGCGTCGCACTTATGCCAGTTCGCACATATGCCAATTTGCGCTTATGCCAGTTCGCGCTTACGCCAATCGCACTTATGCCAGTTCGCACTTATGAAATTCGCGCATATCCAGTTGTCCCCATTTTTAGCTACGCTTTTGCTTTATTTGTTATTTTATTTTATTTTTTTTAATTTGTTTTTTTAGGTTAAAAAAGAATGCCAGTTCTTTTTCAAGAGAAATATCAAAAGAACACATGTTAAAGCGCGACCAACTAAATGAGGTTCGCAACAGCAACACAAAAATAAATTTTAATAAGTCAGCAACAAGAGCTTTATTAAACTTCGGCATTAAATTTAATAACTATTTAGGGTCTGTTAGAAATAAATTAAACAACAAAAACCAGGGTGGTTATAAGATACTTGATGAAGAAGTCGATTCGGACGATAATACAAATGTGCAAGCTGATATCAATGGACCCTCTAAAACAAATTCGTTTCATAACTTAAGCTTTACTGATAATTTAGATTCTTCTCATATCAATACAAAGCATGATTGTAACAATAATAAAGAAGACAAAGATCAAGAGAAAATATCTTGTTGTGAGAAGAAGAAGCTTGTTAAAATATCTTCTTCTTTTTCTTCTTTTATTCAAACAAATAAAAAAAAACATAAAGAAAATATATTTAACACAATTAGATAAATTTTGAAAAAAAAACTTCGTTTCTTATTACCGTTTAGCTAATCAAATTTGTAAAAAAATGAAAATCAATATAATAAATCCTCTGCAATGTAGTTTTTTATCCCTGAAGTGTAGTTTCATATCTCTGCAGTGTAATTTATTATCTCAGCAGTATAGTTTCTTATCTCTGCAGTGTAATTTTGTATCACTGCAGTGTAATTTTGTAACTCAGCAGTGTAATTTCTTATCTCTGCAATGTAATTTCGTATATTCCCAAATTATTAGGTAACATTCTTTTAGTTCTTTTCTAATCAATTTGGTAAACTATTTTTTATTATCACAAAAAAATACGTTATAATGTAAAATAAAACTCTAAACTTTGTAAACTAGTGGCTTAAATTTTGATTTTTTAATGATAAGTTTTGCTAATAACGAATTAATATTTTCAACAAATTGGTTCTAATTGTGAGGTTAGCACTTTGTTATTGTTACTTTTTGTGAGGTTGGAAATTGTGAGGTTATACTTTGTTAATGTCACTTTTTTGAGCTGATTCAAAGTGTTCATATTACCAAGTAGTCTGGGTAATATGAGCACTTTGTTACGTTTTTAAAATTTCTGTGTTTTTACAAAAAAATTTTGGGCACCCAATGTTGCTACCCAAAAAAAAATTCTAAATCGAGATAACGGCAACCAAGTGATGACTCACCATCACAAATTTTTTTTTGTTAAATATAAAAAACTTTTATAATATTATGCAATAACATATACTACGCAACTGTGTGATTACAAAAAAGTATATTTTAAAAGTAATACATATCAAGATATCTCAAGACAATCTCTTTTAAATATGGTAGCCTGCTTTGTGGTTTATAAAGCTCTTTATTCATAATTTTTTTAGCTCTTATTAACTACTTTTTTAATACAAAAAGTTAAATTTTTTTTTTAAAAAATAACTTCAATTTTAACTTTCATATCTAATGTTTATAACATATTAAAGAAAATTTTTCAGCATACTTATTTTATTAAGTTCTGAAGCTTAGCATGATGTGCAGTAGTGACATAAGCATAACTCTGAAGTTCTATCAACGGAAACCATTTTGAATTGCTCTTACTCACAAAGAATTCCGTTCGTGTCCAGTCCTTTTCTTATTCTAATTACTGTTTCCGAGGTAATGAAAATATGGAAATTTTGTGTAAACGCCCTGAAGATTCATAATAAAAAGCACCATTTTAAAGTCTATAATGACCTTCTATCCGTAGCCATCATACTTCAAGATATTCATCAATGTTTTGACACAGGGAGGTTTTTTAGATACATAAAGTGAGCCAATCTATGTATATATAAAACCACTCTATGATATGTATAAGTAGAACCACTCTATGTATATGTATACTCAATGTATAGCTACAACGTCTTAACACAGGTTTTCTTTTTTAGAAACATAGAGTGAGACACTGAAATCTACGCTTAGTTGTGTCTGTGGTTAAATAAGGTTTTGATGCCAAGGTTTCTGATTAGATCGTTGACATCTTTCTGGTTAAAAAAGTATGTGTTTCTTTCCTTAAGTTAAAAAACTGCAAAATCTCCAATATCTTAATTGATGTCAAACTTCTTTATAATCTACTTTTGCCTGAAGATGGCTAGTTCCTCTTTAGGTAAAAGCAGATCATTCAGGGAAGTGGTAACAGGTAGCTTGGGCTGTGCGGAACTGTGGAAATTGAAAAAAGAATGCTTGGAAAAACAAAGCAATTTGCGTCTGAGCGAAAGTAGAAGTTGCTTAAATGGTCATTTACAAAAGCTCGAGATAGCTTCGTAGATTTCTTTTCTGCTCTGTAACATCACATATCAAATCATTTAAATTAGAAGCCAGTGAATTTTATACATAACTAAATACATGGAATTCCATTAACAATAAAAACATTTTCCTATAATTTATGAGATGTAAATCAAAATTTATGATTTTATAATTATTCAACTTACTTTCAAGAGTTCATATGCAAATCCCCAACATGCGAATCCCCGACATGCAAATCCCCGAAATGCATATCAAAAAATTCCTTGTAAACCTTACCCGTTTTTCGACTTGCATCTACGGAATACTTTTTTGAACTCGTCTTTATATATTCTTTGCACATGTAAAATATATCTGCTGAGTGAAAACAACGTCTTAATGCTATTCAAATTAAATAATTGCTTTTTAAATACAATTTGTTATTCCTCATTAGCTAAAAACAGGAATTGAAATTTTGTTTTTACTTGTGCTTTTTTACTTCTATGATTACAAAACTGTAATGAAGAAGCGCATAAAAATAGATTACATAACTTTTTTTAATAATTTTTAAAATTTAAAAAAATAGTTAGCATATTTGATACTTAAAATCTAAGGTGGTATGTTACAGTAAAAACATTTCCATCGTTTGATGATAGAAAATGATGATAGCGAATTCCTCATAAATCATACATCAAAAAATAGCCATTCATTATGTACACTGCCACCGGCAAATAATGTTTTTTAAGCAAGTTTTGTAAGGATAATCTTTTGCGCTTACTGACCACAACTTGTAAAATTTCGCTGTCTAATTTAAGCGAACAGTTTCATGTAAAAACTTATTTCATTTGCAATCGGGTTTTTCTTTTCCACATCATGTGTGCATATCAAGATGCGGGAAAGAAAATGTTTTTGTTTTTCTTGTTGTCCTTTAACTGATCCCTTGAAATTAGTTTTAAAACATGCATCAATAAAAAAAAATATCGTGTAGTTTTAACACGATACTACCGTGTAATATCGTGTAATTGACATTCCTATTAAATTTCACCCATAAGTTTAACCCATTAAAGTTCAGGTTGTAATAAAGACATCATTTTTAATAAGTTTAGAGTTCTTTGTGCTACATCCAGGGCTGTGTAGTCGCAACATTTTTAGCGGAGTCGATAAACAAAATCACGACTCCGACTACAATAGTAAAACTTCTCGGTATTGCACGTGCATGTACAAAATATTTAACCTTCAAAGAACTTTTCATTTAACTGGCAAAAAAAAGGTTAATTATCATGTAATATTTTTTAAAGAATTCAAAGAATATTTCAAAAATTTTGCTTTGGAGTCAGAGCTGGAATCGTACTCTGAAAATTTCAACAATTGGAGTCGGAGTTGATACTTTTTTTACGACTATCTATCAATTTCTCAGAAGTACAAGATACGCCTAAGCTGGTTATTTTTGAATGGTTTGAAGAGTATGACTTTAATATATAATTATAATTTAAACATTTGATGTAACAGTCAACAAATAATGCCTACTTTGACACGGGCTAGTAACAACTAAAACAAAAAAGCACACAGCGTAGTAAACTTTTTTACTTCAATGAAGCAGGTTGGAACTTAAAAATTAACTGTCACCGAATATTCATTGCTTGGGTCGAGCGCCAAACCAAATGTTAAGTATTTAGCGAAATCACTATTCGTGACATCTCTACTTTAAATACCACGAAGAATTTGCTAACATTCTTCAAGGTAATATTTCATTTTCAACAGATTCGCAAATGCATGGAATTTAATTCCGATTAAAGTTGTAATAGCAAAGTCCTTTAATTATTTTAAAGGAGCACTTACTGCTTGCTTAGTAGCAATAAAGCATAACTGCTCTCATAGTGTGCGCGACAAAACACTACCTGGATTTGTCCAGCACAGCATGAACTACTGTTACTATATTACTACTATTGGATGACTTCTAGGAATCCTACAGGTCAGAGTCGAAAAATGGAGGTGGCAACTACTATATTCTTAATGAAATAAACTAGAAGATGTAACAGATCAAAAACATACATATTTATTAAAACGTATTTAAATTGCTATGCGAAAAATTTTATTATTATTACAGTAGAGAAACACTAAACATTTTAAATTTTTTTTTTGTTTTTTGTAAATACATTATACTTAAATAAGTAATAATTTTAACCACATGAATTAGTTATTTAAATAAAAATATTTCTGATGTCAGGCAGTATAAGGTTAAAGTTGCCAATTTTACAAGTCTGTTAATATAATAAATATAACTGGAACTTTAGATTTAGAAGGTATTTACTGGTTCACAACTATTTTTATTGAGATGTACTAATATTATGAATAATATTATGCCTTCATGTTAACCAAATATTTAACAAACAGTAACTTATATTTAACGATTTTTTCTCCTTAGAAATGTACATTTCAAGATTATGATTTTTAACTATACTTTACGCAGCTACAAATAACAATATTTAACTGAAAATGTCTAAAAGTCGTAAAAAAACTTAACAAGACGCAAGCGATTTGTTTTTAACCTTCGATTTCAGCTCGATATTTGTAATGAAGGTCAGTAACGTCTGTCTGAGAAACTTTTATCCAACCGGTTTCTTGCATATGATACACTAAAGAAAAACAATCGTCAAATTAGTTTTTTTATTTATTGACATTTGAAAATATTTTTTTTATTGTTTTAAATATTTTTTTAAGTTTCTGTACATTTGTAATTATACGAAATATATTTTGATCAAGCAATTTCATATAAAAAATATTCTAAATAATCTAAATTTTCTTTACTTTTCAAGGTTCTGAATGAAAGATTAGCTATAATCACAGTATTTGTTTTCTAATTCAGAATAAATTTTTTTTATTATTTATAATAAAGAAAGATATAACTGTTACAATATAAATAATTGTTGAACAGTCTAATAAATAGTATACGCAATTAACTAAACGTTGGACCAAATACGCAATGGACCAAAAATCAGATCAACGTAGAAAAGGTGAAGATATATAATATTTAAAAAAAAACATTATACACAGTATAATAGCATTTAAAACTCAAATATAAAAGTTATTAGGCATGCAGAACTTTCTCAAATAATTATACTCATAGAAGAAATTTCCGTGTTTCGTTAATTTTTTGGATTTTACTTTTAGTTATTAATGTGTAATTTAACTCCCTGTCAATTATATTGTGTTTTAGATTAGAACTATTTATAAAATATATATGCTTTTAAAAATTATTTTCAACTTTATAAAAGGTATGGTAAATGTTAATAATAAAAATTAAAAAGTTGGTTTTATCAGTCATTACTCAAATTATATGTCATTTTTAGAGACTTACTATAACCTGTCTTAACAACTTTAATAATGAAACTTTTTTAATCATGCAGTCACATAATAACTTATTGCATGTTGTCGTTGTTTTAGGATTATTAATGGGTAAAGAGATGTTTTCTCACGAAAATTAACTTAAGTAGCTGTTCTTCTGCACACACAAAAACAGATCACACCCAAAAAGGTTTAGCCAAAATTGTCAAAGTCTCGCAGGCTACACTCTCTCTCTCTCTTTATTTTTTTATTATTAAAGTTGAAAGTTACTGGAAAAGAAAAAATGAATTTATAAATAAAGATAACGACTAACAGACGAACTAAAGGATTGCAAATTAAGGCTACAAGAGCAGGTTCAATTATGTTTACAATGCATTTTTGCACCTTGTCTAAAAGAGAAAGGGCATCATTCATCATCCGCCCCAGATATGGCAATAGTATTCCATACATGGACGGACTTGAGATTTATAGAGATAAAGAATAAAACCCGGAGTAAGAAAGTGGCAAGCACAATAAAGATATGCAACCTTTAGTTTTATCTGAGTTAAAGTTCACCAGCCATTGAGTGCCTCATGCTGTTGCAGAAGTGAGATCCTTTTGAAGTTCAATTACCTCCTCCAAGCAATCAGAGTGTGTTGGTTGTATTCATGACGATGAATACAACCTGAATAAAGCATGATCTACTTTTACGACTTTGGGGAATAAAACCACATTTGTGCCAGCAAACCAGGAGAACAACACACCCCAGAATGCTTTGTAAATACTGTAAAGCATCCTGAATTCATAACAATCTGGTATTGCATATGGAGCATGGGTACCAATCAAGATTACATTGTACAATGTAAAGGGATAATGAAACAAGACTGTCCTGCAGACTACGCTAACTCCACAGACACTAGAGTTGTTTCCTAATGGTGAAAAAACAATTTTCATGCAAAAATGACTGATTAAAGTATGGTGTCGCGATCAAGATGTTAAATGATTAAACTCAAAGTGCATGAATAGTATGGCAAGGCATATCAAAGCTCTTTTAAAGTTGAAAGGAATCATGACCAGGTATTAAGTTTCAAAACATGTTTTGTATGTATCAATATATAGATTATATAACGAAATAGAAAATATATGAACATTCAACAGAGTCATTTTTGGACTAACATTTTGATGACGACATAAGATCAAAAAAACATGTTAGTATTACTATAAAAAAAAAAAAATTAAAATACTAATAATAACTAATATTATTAACAAGAAAACATGTTAATATTATTACTAAGGGTATTCACCTTCAACTACCTTAAAAAAAAGAAAAATTAACAGAAAAAGTAATCCATCTTTTCTATTTATTAATCAAACTTTTTTTGCCAAGAAGAGAAGATAGTGGTCTGATCTCAGTTTTATAATCATTATGGGTCATCCATAAAGAATAAATTGATAGTAATTCTTTGATTAATAAACAGAAAAGGTAATCAACCTTTTCTGTTTATTAATCAAACTTAAACTTTTTTTGCCATAATGAGATGATAGTGGTCTGATAGTGCCATGAAGAGAAGATAGTCTCAAATCTACAATTGTATTTTTTTAAATATCAAAATTTTTTCTATTATTGTTTTTTTTTATTTTTTATAAATACCTTCATATATTAAAAATGAAAACTATATATAATATTGTATATAGTTCTCATAGTGCTCGGAATATTTTGAGGAGAAATAGTAACAAAAAAAAAGATTTTAGAGTTGTGGAAAATAACAAAGTTGAAGTACCTAATTCTATCTAATTATGCATGAAAATCCTTATGTATATCATCAACTTCCGCAACATCAGAGCGGATTTTTATTACTGCTGGTATTAAAAAAAATAAAGTTTTCTTAATTGGTTTTAAAATATGTCATTCTATTTTTATGAAATAAACAACTTCCAAAACAATTTATTTTGTTTTTAATGACTAAATTGAAACTGACCAAAAGAAACTGTTTTCTTAATGCCATGATATTAATTTTATGATGAAACTGTTAGTAAGTAAAATTTATTTTGTAACTAGTGATTTACTTTAAAAAGTAAAATATATTTAACTTTTTTGATGTTACAGGTTATTATTTGGGTAAATGAAAATATTTATTGCAGAAAAAGATGGCACAACTTAAAGTACCCATTAAAGATATCAAATATTCACAAAAATTAATTGCAAGAAAGGTTGGTAATTCTTAATTTGTGATCAACAGAATGAAAATAATTTTTTACTTAAACAAGTAATTCCTTAAGACAAGAAAGATATTATGCAAATATCATAAAGAGCGCAAGTTACTGTGATCAGTCATAAGTAATAAAAAAGTGACATCAAAACAGTTAGCTAAATGTGTAAATAAAGTAAATTAAAATTAACACTATAACATTAACTTTATATATTTTTAATTTATGCAGGGCCAGTTAGCTAAACAATTTGAGAAGATTGGGGTGAAAATCAGTGATAGTACAGTAAAAAGACATTTTTTTAGCAAGAAAATTAAGAAAGAGGCAAAAGTTAACAGAAGCGACGAAAGAGATTTGATATGGATAGGCTAAACAATTTTGCAACAGGATAGAAGACTGGAAGAAAGTAGCATTTAGGGATGAAAGCCCTAAATGCTACTTTCTACTAAAAACCAACAATAAAGTAGCAGGTGTCATTAGTGTGGTACAGGGATAAAGATTGTGCATTGAAAAAAAAACAACTAGTCACAAGCAAATTGCAAATGGCTGCTAAACTGCATACATCTGCATCATCATCATAAACTACTTAAGTAAAGGTTATCTTTATATAAAAACATCAGTCAAAAAATACATCAGAAAAGAACCCAAGATAAAACCTTCTTTGAGATTTTAACAAATACACAAAACAATTAAACTGCTGAACAAACAGAGGAGCTGATTTGTATTTGAGATAAATTTTGCAGAATATTTATACTAGCTATAAAATGTTATTACTAAAATACTAACTATAAAATTAAAAAATTATTTTCTTACAATTGCAAACACCACCAGATCCAGCATCTCGATGTGTGGCATGATATATTGCTCGATTGCCTAAATCATATGCCTCCTCTAGTGTTAAATCCCATTTATGGTCAGCATCTAAAACTCCATATGCATATGTAGACCCTGATCCAACTGAAAAAAGATCACCTTTCAATCGACTACCATCACTATCTACATAATAAAGTCCAGGCCCCTTAAAAAAGAATAAATATAATGCAGATTTTAATTTAAATATGAATTAAAAAATAATATTAAAAATAACACAAAATACTTACTCGTTTGTCCCATCCACAGATCATAGTTCCCTAAAAAATAAAAAAGTAAAAACATTTTTTTAAAGTTTTTATTATTTTAATAAATTACTATTTAAATAAATGAAGAATGGAAACTTTTAAAAAAATATTTAGAAAGGAGGAGGAAGAGGGAGACTTTAAAATATGTAAATAATTTATTACAACTTAATGCTTACAACACCTTTAAATTATCTAAAATAATTTGATAACTTTGAAATATTAATGAAATACAATTATGACAACTGTTAATAAATTTAATGTAGACATAATTTATGATAAACTGGTATGTTTAAGTATTAAAAAAAAAATATTACCATTAGTATTTTTTTGTTTAATAGCAGTTTTCAAAACAGTATAAAGTTTTTAAAAAAATTTATGCAATATTATTATAAATATTATATTATAAACAATATTGCTTCTGCTCTCTAAGATAAAAAATAATAAATGTTGACAAACAACTAAAACAATTAAAAACGAATTCTCAAAAATATAAAGTTTTAAAAAACTTCAATGCACTTATGATTGAAACAAAACTAAAAAAATTTCTGTTATCTGATATTACTTCGACAAATGAAATTTTTATGCATATACAGAAAAAAAAATCTGGCTGTTTTGACTGTTGTTAACTAACTGTTGTCATCCAGCTGTTCCAACTGTTAGTTTTAACTGCTTTAATTATTAGGTAAATGTATTTAATAAAAAATTTAGATGATCTCTGAGATTTGTTGTAATTATTTAAACAAAACCTTTAAAAAGCATTTAAAAAGTTACCCAATATGTTCTAACTTTTTCTGAATGTGATAAAAAGAAGCCTACTGGATTAAAGTTTTGCAAAAAAAATTTTAAATACACATAAGAAAAGTAAAATGTTCAACACTTTTAATAATACAAAAGGCACTTGATGTTTTAGCATCTTTTTAATGTTAAAAAAAAGATAGCTGTATTTAGGGATGGCAAAAATCCCGGAAATTTTTATTCCCAGGATTTCGGGATTGAGAAATTTGTTCCCGGAAAATCCCGGGATTGAATAAAAAAAACCGCAGTTGAATACTTTTAAGTACTTATCAAACACTTAAAAATGATTAGTTTAATGACAATATAACTAAAACAATTAATACATTAATGAACCTAAAATCAAGTTAAAAAAATGTTTTAACTTAATTTTGTTATATTAAAACTTATCTGAGACTTTTAAAAATTAATGAACCTAAGTACTTTAAATTATAAAACATACCTTAAAGTGGTAACACAGTATAAATAAAAATAATAATTGAAAAATAATATAAATATGCATGACTTCATTAATTAAACGGAAGCTGAGAAAATTATGTAATTTAATAAACCTGTTTTTTGATAATTTTATTAAGGGATTGTCCATAAAGTATGTACACTCGTAGGGGAAGAGGGGTCTGCAAATGGCCTATATAAGATTGGAGGACAGTGGGTCATTTATAAAAGAAAGAAGACACTAAATTAAAAAATATTATATAATGTTAGATAAATAAGTTAAAAGTGTAGGTACTTTTAGGGAGGTGGAGGGTACTTAAAAAAGCATATTACAAAATGCTGGGGGAAGGGGGTTGACAAAAAAAAAGTACTTTATGGATGACCCCTAGATTGACATAAAAAAAACTTTCGTAAATCACGCATGTATTTGAAATTAAAATTAATGGAAATAAAAACAGAATTTGAATCGCTCACACGTTTGAAAGTAAAATGAATGGATATGAAAATGAAGTTAAAATCGCGCACACTTTTGGAAGTAGAAAATTCATAATTAAACGAGGGTATACCTTCTTTGAAAAACTTCTATTAAAAACACTTTCCACTGCAAGCGCTTAAATTTTATTTATTTTTTATAATATACTAGTTTTAATACTATATATATATATATATATATATATATATATATATATATATATATATATATATATATATATATATATATATATATATATATATATATATATATATATATATACATACATACTTTGCAGACGTGCAATAATGTTTTAAGTTTTAATTTTTAATAAAAGACAGAGTTTTAAAAGGAAAACATTGCAAAGAGAATAAATAGTTAAACGACCAAACAGCTACTATTCCAAAGACGATGTACAAATTAATTAATTACAATTATAAGGTTAAACTTTATTAACTTTTACTTTTTTTTGACAATCCCGAAATCCCGGGAAAATTTGGAGACTAATCCCAGGAAAATTCGAAGACTAATCTCAATATTTCGGGATAAACAATTTGTACAAAATCCGTGGATTTCGGGATCCCGGGATTGCCATCCCTAGCTTTATTGTAAACAATATTACTTGTTACACTCTAAAAACAATGCGTTAGAAAAAGCAACGGATTGCCTTCTTCCGTTAAACTAACGAAGTAATTCGTAACCAAAAATCACAAAATCAACGGAGTAAAACTAACTACTAACGGATTCTTTGAAATTTCGTTAATTCAACAAATTAAATATTCAAATCCGTTGAAAAACAACTAAACTTTTTATTAAAAAGGGTTTCCATAAGAAATTATGGAGTGCTTCCTCAGTAGATTATATTTTTAAATCTTGCCTGTTTGATTTAGATTTGTCAATATATTATAGTTCTTTACTTATAAATGATAAAGTTTTAAAAAACGTTTTTCTTAAACCAAAATTAAGTTGTAGATAAAAGGTTAGTTGCAGTAAGTTTAATTTTCCATTTTTTAAATAGCTTCACATTTTGACTAAATGTGAAGTTATTTAAAAAAAGCGTAATTTAAGTAAATGGATAAACACAGTTTAAATTACACTCTGTTATTTGTAATTTTGAAGGTTGTTAAACTTATTTTAAATCAGTTGTAAAATGTTTACTTGCATTTTTTTTAATGGATGTTTACTTAGGCTAGTTACAGCATAGATTAATTATATAGATTGTTTCAATTTGTATATTTAAGTTTTAAAATTTGCTATTTTGGACACATGTCATGCTATATCGCTTTGTAAGTTTAAATTAGTTGAAAAACTATTTTTTTCTTTTACTTGAAATTTTTTTATGTTAGTCACAAATAAGTTTATATATTGTTTATTTATATTTGTATAGAACTTGCTACTTTAGACAAGTGGCATTCAGGCATGAGGTGTCAAATTTAAATTTTTACTTCCATTTATTTTAATCGGTATATTTATTTAGACTCGCTGCAGCTAAGTTTACACATAATTTGTTTATATGCTTTTATAATTGACTATTTTAGAAACGTGGCATGCAATATCAAACTGTAAGTTTCATCAGTTGTAAAATAATTCAGTTGTAAAATGTTTACTTGCATTTTTTTAAAGGGTATTTATTTAGGCTTGTTACAGCAAAGTTTATATATGGATTGTTATAGGTTTGTTTATTTAAGTTTGTATATGCTTTTATAATTTGCTTTTTTAGACATGTGTCATGCTATATCACTCTGTAAGTTTAAATTAGTTGTAAAACTTTTTATTTTTTTTTTACTTGTAATTTTTTTATGTTAGTTACAACTAAGTTTATATATTGCTTGTTTATATTTGTAAAGAACTTGCTACTTTAGAATTGTGGCATTCAGGCATAAGGTATCAAATTTAAATTCTAATATTAATACTTTTAACGTGTTTATTATTATTAAATATAGAGGTGAGAGACTTTTTTCTTTTATTCTTGATGTGCGTAAAAAATTTACAACTATTGATGTGTTTAAAAATTTTAGAACCTTTCCCTTAGCAAGTTATCTTTTATAGCGCATTTAATTTTTGTTTAATACATCGAAATGTAGAACTAATAAAATAACATAATTTTTATTAGTTCAAATGTTTCTTACAGGGCTATAAGCAAAAATTTATTTCCATTTTGTATTATGGTATATCATTTATATTCAATAATTTCTTTATTGTGTTTTAAGGTTTATCTTTAAATAATCGACAACAGATTGCTGGAATTGAAATGTGCACACACATAAATTTACAACAGTATTAAAAATTGAAACCCTTTTTAGTTAGTTTTCAATTTAAAAGTTAAAACGTTTTTAAAGCTTGCTGAAAAGTCCCGATCAAGTTAGTTTGTATAAGTAGCACTGCTTGTATCAGATGTTGAATAACATAATAAGATAATCTATATATTAAAAATAAGGACTATTTTGAAATTTTAATAAAGGGAATAACTAATTATTCAGTACGATGATGTAGTAAATTTTTTTTTTTACCAAAACAGCAAAAGCTGCCACGCGTAATAATTCCCTTATTTTAACAAAAATAATAATAATATCAAAATAATAGCGCAAAATAATAAAATATTTTTCTGAATTAATTAAAAAATGACAAAGTTCTGTATCACTTTTTAAATAATATAATTCAACGGCAACAAAATCAACCTGTTTATTTTCGCATTGACACATGTTGCACAAGGTTTCAGAGTTTTAGTCTTTTTTCAGAGTGAAAAAGAGTTGCAAAAGATTGAAATATAGTTAAAGAAAGAAGTGTAGCCTTCTTAACTCCAGGAGTAAGTAAATTAAAGAACAGTCGCTTAATGAACAATTGAATACTTATGAAATGCAAGCATAAAAAAAGTTCTTATTTAAACATTAAATTTAAATTTACTTTTAGATATTTATTCAAGGAAATATTTATTTAAAAAAAATCAAGCCCTTAATTTATTTGGCCAAAATAACATTTTTGTTTTAAAAAAACAAAAAAAAAGAGAAAGAATTTCAAAGCAACTCAACTGAAGCAAGATTGAGTTTTGGTTGATGGAACAAGCGATAGTGAAGTGATCAACAAAACAACAAGTAATGAAAATCAAAATTCAAGATTGAAAACAAAAGTGTTGACTTTTTATCAAAAATAGAGTATATAGTTTTCATTAACAAATAGAAATAAGAATATTAGAAAGAGCATTGATGAGAAACAACACACTACCAAAGATGAAACCTTGAGGTACTCCAAATAGAATTGATGGAGAGTGTTGTCTGACAAAGACAACACTCACTGCACTAGGAAAGAATATTTT